AGGAATCTTCTGCCACTGTCCTAACCGTGCAGATGCTCAGGCTGCATCCTGGCCACCACCGTTGCTGCAATGGCAAGCTGGTGACCTGACACAGACACTTGCAGAAGTCAGACAAAGGAACCAGAAGATAGCCTCCCTCTGTCTTCCACATCTTGATGAGAGCATCTGATGAGCAGAACTAAATCTCATCTGCAACTCTGGATGGACGTGTATTAGTTAGCTCTTGCTGTTTAACAAGCTCCCACAAACTAGAGGGACACATTAATTGTTCCACAGCTTCTGTGGGTCGGGAGTCCAGTGGGCTTGGCTTGGTTCTCTGCTTCAGTTTCTTACAAGGCTACGATCAAGGTGTTGGCCAGGACTGGGGTCTCAACCGGAAAGAGCCTGTTCCCAAACTCACTTAATTGTTGGTGGAGGTTATTCCTTGAGGATCGTTGGACTGAGGCCTCGCTCTTGCAGGCCGCTGGCTGGGGCCATCCTCGAGGGATCGCTGGGGCCCCCTTAGCATTGGCTCACTGCACGAGGGATTCTAGAACATGCAGATTTCAGCTTGTGAACCTGGGCAGGACAGGAGGCACTCAAGAAGGTGATGCGAATGGATGCTAAGTGCCAGCTGACCACATCCAGTGGCCAAGAGGAAATTAAAACACAGACAGGAAAACAAGGAAGACTCTGGATATAATAAAGCAGTGGCCGTCCCTACATGTATGTCTGATGACAAGCAAGTCTTTGTGGGCTGGAAGGCAGCTCAGATGCTACTTTATACAAACGCCACTGAAGAGGAGCTGTCTATAGCGAGCAGGATGTAAAGTGACAGGTTGTCAACAGTGGAGTCACCGCTGGAAGGAGTCTGCTTGTGGAAGGGAGGCCGAGTAAGGGAGTCAGCAACACAGCCGTGAGCACCCGGCCCCTCCTTTCATCCTGGAGTCTCCGCTTTGCCTCACGGAGCTCGTCTCTCTGACCTCAGAGCCCTAATCTGACAAATGGGGAAGGCTGGTCTCTACCTTCCGGGCTTCTCACGCGTTGATAATCACTTATAATTGTTAAATGTTGTTTAAATAATTAAGCACTTAGCTTTTAGTATTTGCTCAGAACATGGTGAATACTCAAAATTGTGGGCTATTTTCATTTTGCAATGCAATGCCCTCTTTTCCTGGATGAGGAAACTGGGTCAGCTGGCTAACGTGACTCAGGTTTTCAGTAGTCGAATGGTCGTCTGGCTGTGGGTGGTGAAGGTGGGCCCTTAGGCCAGGTCTCTTGGTTCCCAACTATCTTTCCATTATACCCTAAGGGAGATGTTTCCAGTAACATGGGAAACATGGGAAATTGCTGTGTAGTCGTTTAAGATGGTTGCATGTTGATATGTTCACATGGTGTGGGAGACAGGCTCCCACCTGCAGCCTGTAACCTGGGCCTAGGTGGGGCCGGCTATCCAGCATCCACAGATGTCTGTGGCTTCTTGGTTAGGGACACACCCAGGCCTCTACCTCTGCCTAGATGGCCCTAGATCTGATACAAACGTCCCCGAAGCTCAGCTCGAGAGTCAGCTGATTTCACATTATGAGTCTGCATCAGAGAAACCCACCGATTCCTGTTTCCTGATTTACATGAAGTTCATACTTCAGAACAGGGTTTGGCTTGATCTCTCAACCTGCTTGCTGGTGCTTATCAGGCAGATGAAAGCTGGTGAGACCTGGATGCTTCCTTAACTAGGTTGAAAGGGACAATATTCATAACCAACGTGCTGTTGGAAGCAGGTAAGTCCTGCTGGCTGCAACTCTGCTCTCGGACTGGCAGGTCTGCAAGGCCCCTGGAACAGCAGGATGGGGCTGGGTGGCCCTGCTGTTTGGGCGTCCACAGTCCAGCACCTGGAGCGGGCTCTTTGGGGCTGATGAGAAGCTGAGTCAATGGATGACGCCTTGGGAGGAATGTTTCCCAGCTGGGAGGTGAGTCAGGAAGCCCCTTCCTCGAGCCGCCTCTAAGAGGTTCCAGCTCACACGTCACCCAGAAAGTCATTACACGTGAGAACTGCTGCAGGGAAGCGAGACTGCCTCTGGTCGCAGGTGTGGAGAGAGGGTGAGGTTTTCACTCCCACTCACAGGAAGTTCCGCTGGGCTCTCTTCCGGGGACACGTACAAGACCTCCCTGGGGAAATGACATCACATCACAAGATCAGACAGGAGTTGGTTAGAACTCAGCGTTTAAACTGCAATTGTGGTGAGGGGGTGGGTGTCAACTCTGGCTGCACATTCCGTTCACCCAGAGCATTAAAACAAACCCTGCTGGAGGGTACACCGGAGTCTCTGTTTAATGGGTTCAGGCTGCAGCCCGACCATTTGTATGTTTTTTTTTCTGAGGAGGACTGACCCTCAGCTAACGTCCGTGCCCATCTTCCTCTGCTTTATAAGTGGGACTGCTACCACAGCATGGCTTGCCAAGTGGTGCATCGGGCCACACCCGGGATCTGAACTGATGAACCCCGGGCCGCTGAAGCGGAAAGTGCGAACTGAACCGCTGTACCACCGTGCTGGCCCTCGATCATTTGTATTTTTGAGAACACTCCAGATGATTCTAACATGCAGGCAAAATCAAGAAGCACTGATATACCCAAAGAAGGCTGTGCTTGAAAATCACCCTGTGTGTACACTTTGTTATTCATTCATCAACAAATATTTACTCATCATATTTATTGCTACACTCTATATGGCGACGAAGAAAACCGACAAGCTGTCTGCCCTGGCCTGGCTTCCAGGACAGCAGCACATCTGAGAACATGGCAGAATTATCCACTTTCCTATTCAGCTACAAGTGGCCGGCCCCTGCCTTCCAGGCTATTTGGAACAAGAGGAGCTGGATGAATTTGACCCGTCACAGGTACGTTCCATTTACGCCACAAGGTGAGTGATTGCAGCTGGGAGAGTTGCAGTGGTGAGCGACAGCCGCTCCGCTGTAGTCGGGAATCCTGTTATCCTGAGGATGCACAGCGGATTTGGCCTCCGATGCGTGGGGTTGTTTGGAGTGATCGCATTACACACTGTAATGGGGGGATGAGCCGGGGTGATAGAACACCCGTGGTCAGCTGGCTGCAAATAGAATGCCTAGCGCGTGTGTTTACTTTTAGACACTCAGAGTGTGTTTCGTTCTTCTAGCATCTGCCGAGACATGACGTGATGTGCTGACAATTCGGAGCCTGTGGAGTCAGATGGATGGAGGCCGATGACCTGTTCTGCTCAGAGGGAGCACCTGGCAGTGTGGAGGGAGATGGTGGGGGAAGAGGAGCGACTTCAGTAACAGACTGCTCTGGGTTCAAACCAGCTCCTCCCGCTTGCTGACTCTACTGCAAAAGGAACATACCCTGATCTATGAAAACAGGAGTAATGGCAACTGCATCTTGGCATCACTGGGCAGACCAGAGCTGAGCCTGTAAGGACCAGGCACCATGGCTGACACACAATATGCTTAATGCCTGGTAAATCAGCTACCTGCTGCCTCAACACTGTGAACAAACCATCCCAATGCCTAGAGGCTCGAGGGCGCTGCTCTGCATTGCTTTCCCGTAAGTGCATGGGTGGGTTGGGCTGTTCTGCTCATCTGAGCCAGGCTCAGCTGACTCGGCGGAGTTCGCTCCTTCTTTCTGCAGTCAGCTGCAGGGTAGCTGGGAGCTGCTGGTCCAGACGGCTTCTGGGGACCAGTCTCCATTCTCCTCCAGGTGTCTCTCACATATTTTTTTCTGGCAGTCCACCTTGACTACGTTCTCAAGGTGGTGGCAGGGGTCGAGAGTGAGGGGAACTGCCGGAGTGCCTTTTCAAGTCCCAGCTTGAGCCGCATTTGCATTTGCTAACATCCCACTGGCCAAAGTGCGTCACCTGGCTGAGCCCAGAGTCAGTGGGAGGAGACACAAAATCATGGACAGAGGATGGGATGGGGCAGCAAGGAGAGCACTAATTGGGCTATTAAGTCACCCACTTTACCGTGGCACGCATGGGAGAGAGGACTGCCAGTTGGAAGACATTCTACAAATTTCATGCCATTTCTCCTTCTCCTGACCTAAGGCATTATGGTATCTAATTTGGTAACAGTGGCGGCAAGACGTTGTGACACTGGCTGTAAAATGACCACCTGGACCAGAAGGCTGCCTACTGGGAGACTGTGGAGAGATGGGAACACGAATCTCCTATGGGATCCAGTAGGGTGCAATGATTAAAAACCAAAAACAATATAGGACATGCCTTAGAAATGGCAGAAAAGCCTCGTTTCTATAAGACCTTTCAGAACGAGTCTGTCGAATGTGCATTTTCTTTTGCAGTTTTCTCAGCAGTAAGCATCAAAATAATCGAATGTTTGCTGTTCAGAGATGCATTTTGCGTGAACTAATAAATGTCTTTCAGTCTCGCATTTGGGGGAGAAGTTAAATAAAAGTGGTCATGTACGATTAATTCTGCCACTGCCAAGGTGTTAATTGCTTCTCTTTCTTTCATTGCAGAGTCTGAACGATGGGTTTTCTGCTGCCCATCCCTCCCAGGAACTGACGCTGATTAGAGCACAGAGGCTGAGGTGGTTCGAGATCCCACCTGAAATGAGCAGGACCCTGAGGAGAGGGGCAGGGTCTTCTCAGGGCTGGTCTGGACCCCTGGGCCTCCCTCCCTCCGCCCTCTTCCCTCTCCTCCCCTCCCAGGGAGCCACTAACATTCGGGTCATTTTTTGGGACATTGTGTTTACTTTTGTCCATAAATCAGTCCCACTGGTCACTTCAGGCAATGGTCAGGCTTTATTGTGACGTGTCGACTCCTTGGAGAGAATCACAGCCCGGTTTGGCCAGCTTGGGACCTGCTGCCTTCATCTCTGTCTCCTGTGGGGATGCCCTAACTAGTATTTACTTTTGCTTAAAAGAGAGCAATTTCTGTGATGAAATCAACAGTTTCCTCTGCGTGCCACACTTTTATGATATTAAACAGTAAAATAAAAAATTATAAACGTACAATGAAATGCTGACGGGGTGATTAATTTATTTTTATTGTGCTGTTTGAAAGCTGTGGGGATTACTGTTTTGAAGCACACCCAATTATAGTCCTTGACTTCCGCGTGGAGCCGAGGGAATTCGTCCCCAGCTGTTGCTGTGAGCGGCGGTGACACAGCCTCCCACTGCTGCCAGCCCCCCGGTCCGTGTGGCTGTGGTTCCAAGGAGAAGAAAAAGAGGACAAGGGGGGCATAAGAGAGTTTAAGTGCAACCAGGGGGATGGATAGAAGGAAGTGATCTCCCCTGTTCCCTCTTTCTCTCAGCTCACGAGCCTTCCAGGATGGTTGGTCAGTCCTGGCCCCACCCAGCGGCGCTGTCCTTCGGGGTCAGCTGACGCTCTGGCCAGGGCACAGTGCTTGGGTTGGGAGGTGTGTGTCTGTGCCGTTACCCCGCTGCTTCCAGCTGAGCAATCTGGAGCTTCGTGGAAACTTCTTAAGCCTCAGTGTCCACCCCTGTGAAATGGGCATCACGCTGCTTAACCCACTGGTGATGCCTGGAAGACTCAGATGGCGGCCCTGAGAACACGGAGGGTATCTGTGGCCTCTGGGAGCGTGTATGCCCATCGGTGTCAGCCCATACCGCCTCCCCTGCCCTGGGGCTCCCTTTGCCGACCTCCTGACAATGCTAAGTAGTTCTATCGGGAAAAAAAAAGAATAAGGTACAATCTTTCTTTTGCTGTGGCCTAAACGTAGGCTCTCCTCAGCTCAGTAACGTATCAAAGGTGAAAAGCAGAGGCTGAGACCCAGTCGACCAAATGCCAGAGTTCCGGCCCTTAACGCAGGCTTCCATTCCCACACCAAGGTCCCCGAGCCCGGCTGGGCAATGTTGCCCTTCTTCTCACCCTAGAAACATATCTGTCTGCTTGTCAGTTCTTCCCTGGCTTCTGATAGGCTAACTAACCCAGAGTGAGAAGAGGGCCCTAATGGCTCTGGGAATCTTCCTCCTGCCCCCAAGTCACCTGGGAAACCCTCACCTGTGTTCTAAATACGATTTCTCATTAGGGGAAGGGGTGGGACAGGACAACACAACCAAACACAGCTAAACAAAATTGAAAAGCAGTCCACGGGGTCGGCCCAGTGGCATAGTGGTTAAGTTCGCACGCTCCACTTCAGTGGCCCAGGGTTCGCAGGTTCGTATCCTGGGGGCAGACCTACACACTACTTGTCAAGCCACACTGTGGCTGCATCCCTCATACAAAATAGAGGAAGATTGGCACAGATGTTAGCTCACTGACAATCTCCCTCAAGCAAAAGAAGAAGATTGGCAACAGATGTTAGCTCAGGGCCAATTTTCCCCACCAAAAACAAAAAAGAAAAGCAGTCCACTTGGCTATGTGTGTGTGTCTAATGCTAATAAAACATCATTGGGTTCAGATTTCACAACAATTTTTCCTGGCTCCTTGTTCTCAGCTTGGGAACCCATCACACAGCTCTCCAGTGCCTCTCACCATGATGCTGTGGAGTGGGGCCCACAGAGGTGCACGCTGGGAGCTTTAGTGGGTGAAAGATGCAAATCTGGGTCCTTGAAGTCATAATCCTGTTTGTGACATCGTCTCCGGTTTCCTTGGTGATGATTATGTTATCAGAGGATTATCATTTTGTGTGAAGAACTGGTCCGGAGACCAGACCAACCTTGAAGAAACAAAAGAGCTTGTTGATAAACAATCGTTCCGAAAAATTAAAACAAAACATAAAAAGTAACATTAGCCGGCGAATGTGTGACACTACAGATTCTTTTATTCCAAATAACATGGTTCCCAGGTTTTAAGTTCAAAGCTTGTGTTAGGGGAAAAAAATAAGCCATCGCAACAAAAGAACAAAAAGGAGAAATTTAATGAGAAACCTGACAGAAGAGCAGAGAAAATACAAAATTTGAAATATAGCAGATAGAGCAGAAAAACATTAAATGGTTTTTAATGAAAGGATTACTGTGAAAAAAACACAACTGGGAGAGGAAAAATATTTTAATTATTTTATTACAAGGAGAAAGCAGATTAGCTGTCACCCACAAACAAAATTAATCCACACATTAGAGCTAATTTTGGGAAGAAAGTTTTCAGTAGAGACAGACTTGAATAGAAGGACCGTGTTTGTAAGTCGGTTTACATGTAAGGTGAATATTCTTCGTGACCTTCGGGTTATCGATTCATACGAATGATCTAACATGATTTAAGCATTAGACATAAAAACCTTTACAAAGTTCTGTAAAGTCAAGAAGTAAGTGTGTTTGTGGATGCCCTGGTGATACACACCATGCAAGACCCCACACAAACATTCTGCTCCATCTTCTGTGGGATCTCGAATTCAGATTTCCCTTTACATAGTGAAGAGATAGCTTGAGTACTGGTTTCCAGGTGGCGTGCAGCTGTGTATTTTGGATTTCACATTGTGCTTTCTTTCTGGATCACACTACGCTCCATTAATGTTCTTCTTGAGGTCTATTCCCTATTTGTAACCATCCAAGCTTAGACCCATCTGTGTCGGTCAGTAGCTGCTCTAATAATGCTGAGTAACAACCTCCCTCAAACCCAGGGGCTACCAACCACAGTGGTTCTCTCTCAGTCATGGGTAAGTGGGTCAGCAGCACAGCTCCTCTGCTGCGTGAGGCTGGACTCATCTCCCAGCTCCTGGCTCCAGGCTCCAGGCTGCAGCTTGGGTTCAGTTCTGCTCCGGAAGCCTCTTTAGCATCCTTGAGCTGGTGGTTACCAGGGGCAACGGTGGAAGCACAACAGGCCATGAGGAACCGCCTCCAAGGCTTGGCTCAGGATGGCACGTCGTCTCTGTTTCTGTTCCTTAAGCCTAAACAAGCACATGTCCAGTGGAGCTGGGCAATATGCTGGCCCCAAGCGAGAGGGGAGGGGATATTTGCTGAACTGTAACCCAGCGTATGGTACCATCGAGCCTGAGGCTGCTCCGCATGCTTTGGGCCCCTGAGGAGACAGCAGCTCAGAGCTGGAGGAGCCTGGATGGGAAGTGATGGGGTTTCAGCTCTGTGCCTGTCACTTCCCAGCCGCTGAGCCTCGCACCTTCATCTGCAAAAGCAGCTCTGGCAGCGTCTTCAGGAACACGGCCATGGGAGCCACCCAGACTCGGATCTGCATCCTCGGATTGGCCACACGCTGGTTGTACAATCTCTGACCCTCGTTTTGCTTCTCTGTGAGATGAGGATAAAGCCACTTCCCTTTCCTTTTGTAAGTCAGTGTCGCCCCCTGTCGGAGGAGAAGGTAGGAGGTCGTCAGATTAAATGAGCAAATTAAAGTAAAGTGCATGGCTCCGGGCTGGGCACACCATCGGTGTCTACTGGACTTCAGCAATTTTATTAATTACACAGTAGAACACAGTCGGCAGTGACCCCGAAAGGCATGTCCACATTCTAACCCCCAGAGCTTGTGAACTTGACCTTTTTTGGAAAAAAGATCTTTGCAGAAGTAATTAAGGATCTTGAGATGAGATCCTGGATTATCCAGGTGGACCCTAAATCCAATAACAAGTGTCTTTATAAGTGCCACACAGTGGAGAGAGGACGAGAAGACAGGAAGGCCACGTGAGGCAGAGACTGGAGGGATGCGGCCACAAGCCAAAGCACATCTGGAGCCACCAGAGGCTGGAGGAGGCAGCAAGGATCTTCCCTAGGGTGGAGGGAGCACAGCCCTGCCGATCCCCTATTTCAGACTTTTATCCTTCAGAACTGGGAGAGAATGAATGTGTGATGTTTACACTAAAGTGTTGGTAGCAGCTGCCGTGGGGAACTGATATAGCCCCCGACGCTGTCCCCAAAGACTCATGTCCCGCAGGCGAGACAGACAAGTGCATCCCGCAGAGTGTCTCAGGTGAGACGGTAGGGCTCAGGGGGGCCCTGAGGCTAAACATCTTCCCACTGGAAACCTTGGAAACTCAGACACAGACCTGGTACGTTTTCTCTCTCCCTGGGCCTGCAGGCCCCTTCTCCTGTGACGCTTCTCCTTGCCACCACCCCGGCTGCAGGTCTCTGCATCCAGTCCCCAGCAGCACTCGGTCTCAGAGGATGCCAAGCTGGACCAAGCATCAGAGTCCCTCGAGGGCTGTGAGCACCCCGGGTCCAGCCCCACCCCGGGGTCAGAGTCAGCAGGTCAGCAGGGGAGGCGAGAATCTGCATTTCTAACACGTTCCCGGTGATGCTGATGCTGCTGGTCACCCTTGAGAACCGCATACTCACAACGTCTCCCTGTGGCTCGAATGCGTTCCTACTCTGGGCTGTGATCATCTCTGCGGCCTGTCCTCTCCTCCCTAATTTTAGCAGCCAGCATTTCTGAGCACCGGCTATGGGCAAGTGCAGTACTGGGCTTTCCACGTGCAGGAAATCTCATGGAATTCGCACAACCAGGACAGGCACAGACTGTCCCTGTTCCCACTTTATAGATGAGGGAACAGAGGCTTGGGTCACCCGCCTTGATGAAGGACAGTGAGTCTCATCCCAGTGTCTGCTCCTGTATCCACTGCTCTGTCACGGGAACAGGTCCCCTGGGTCCCCCCCTGTCCCCAGGCCCCACAGCCCCTTCTGCAGACCTGTGCACATAGCAGGTGCTCACTAAATGCTCACTGGGAGAAAGAAGGAATCCTACGTGAGGTTACAGTGGAGTTCCCCTATTTGATGGAGCTACATCCAAGGGAAATGGAACACGGACCATACAACACAACAGAAATGATTGGGGAATATCCAAACCCCCATCTCTCTCGTCCTCTGCCTACCCGGCGGTTGAGACTGACTCGTGTCCCTGCTCCAGGGCCCAGGAAACCCCATCCCACAGATGGAGAGAAATGTGCAGAACATGCAACCCGCTACAAGACCTTTCTCTCTTTGCTAAAACCAAGTGTACACAAAGGACACCCATGTCCAGAAACTGAATCAGAGAGAGTGCCACGGTGGGCTTCAATTCCCTGGGGACAGGGCTTGTGGCCGCTCCTGGTTCCCCTGGTTCTCCGAGGTCTCTGCCAGCAGAAACAAAACCTTCCAGTGCGAATTTGCTCCAGTTTTGCACTGAAACAGCTCCACACAAGAGGAGGTCTCCTTAGGTACACTGTGAAAGTTATTTTGTTCATCGTCTAATTGACTGTAATTAATTGGGGAAAAAAATGGGCCCAGAGAAAGAAGTAGCCCAGGGGACCCTGAGACAGTTAAACTGCCCTGTGAGGAGGTGATGAGAGCATCCTACTTTCCTTTTGTAATAACCTGAGCTGAGATGCGATGATCAATCATGCCATCACGGGCATTTTTAGCTCGCCAGCTTATCAATATTAGGTGGTTTAACGTCGATGGTTCTGACGTGTTCCCGATACAGACTAGAAAGGCAGAGGGCGGATATTCATCTCTGGATGCCTGGGACCATGATGGCAGATCAATACGTGTCAAAATACCCTTATCCTCATGAAACCACTCTGATGACAGTAATTGAGCCCTGAGAGTTGGTCTGCCTGAGCCCAGCACTGTTCTGCAAACACATTCCTCGTTGATCCAACGTTTTCATTTTTAATATTCACGGATTAGCCACACTCCAAAAGCACCCTACTTGTGCATGTGAAACGAGCCCTTTGCCAAGAGCCAGGGAATGTGCTTCCTCGGGTGCACAGCTCAGTCAGGAGGGAGCAGTCCTGTGCAGACAAGACTGCTGGGGAGGCAGAGGTGTGGCTCATGGCTCAGCCCTGAAACAGCCAGAGGGCTTTGCCTGCCTGGAGTAACCCCACAGGCCAGCGGGTCCCACCTGTGGTCCTGCCTCTGCTGTCTCCTGTGAGACGGAGCTGCTCAGCTGAACTAGACCTCGAGGTGGAGAAGGCTGCTTCTCCCTGAGCAGCCTGGGTGGGTGCCTGAGAGGGTTGCCACTGCTCTCTTGCTCCCCTCTGACCTCGACCCTGTGCAGTCAGGCCACTGGGAGCAGAAGCAGACTACTGAGAGGAGGAGAGACGCGGAGAGGAAACACCCTGCTGTTTCTCCTCCACCCCCATTCCTGATCTTGCAGGAGTCAATTTCCTTAGGGAGTTGACGCCACACCCTCTCCAGGGAAGGAGCATGTGTGTCTCTTGGGCTGGGTGATCAGGACATCCCCTGGCGCTGTGATTGGTCAGGGGTGATCGTGCGACTCCCTGAGCCAGCAAGACAGAGGTCTGCTTGAATCTCGAAGGACAGCCGCTCGCCTTTGCGTTTTCTTAGGTGGATCTCACCCAGGGCAAGCGAGCCTGGAGCTGCCGGGCCACCAGGTACTGAGGAAGAAGGTCTCCTGTGAGGAGGTGGAGCTCGGAGATGCCCGGCCCGGCCACTCTGAGCTGAGCAGCCGTCCCTGGAACCCCTTCCTTAACGAAGCCGCAGTCCTCAACCTCCCGCGGGCTTCCTTTAACTGGAGCCAGCGGGGCTGAGGTTTTCTCGTCTCTGGCAGGCAAGCCATTCCTGGCACAGCCGAAGTCTGCCAAGCTCTGAGGAGCAGCAGACTCAGGAGGCTGTCCCAGGCCACCGAGGCTCGGGATTCTCGTGCACCAGGAGCAAGAGTTCACAGAGGATTCAGGCACAGCCTGCCGGGTGTGAGGTCGGTGGAGACTGTCGTTAGGGCTGGACTTGGCCAGGCCACCTGGCTCGGACCCACACTTGCTCGTGTAGCTGGGGAGCTGGGGTCCTCGGAGTCCCATGGAGAGCCTGCCGCCGAACAGCTCAGGGGCTGGCTGTGTCCACGGGAATGCCTCATCGCTCCCTGGACTGCAGGATCCCATCTGGGCTGAGCATTTGACAAACTATTGCCATCGTCCCTCAGGAGTACTGCTGCCACTTTTTACACAGTGCTGTTCTTGCTGTTTTCTAAGACATCTGTGTCATTAGGTGTGATGTGCTGAGTCGCTGTGATGACTTTGCCATCACCACTGGTGCCCCTCGCCCTTTAGGGTCAGCTGGCCAGTGCAGGGACATGTCTGAGGCCAGGGGGCGAGCTCTCCTCTCAGTAAGGTCTGCACGTCCTTGGAGAGGGCTGATGGAAGCCCCCTCCCAGGGCCAGGGAGAGGGGAGGGAAGACTTGGGGGCCCCAAAGGGAGCTGGATCCTAGACCCCAGGGCCCAGGCTTAGCCGAGCTCCTGTGCACTGGGGAGCCTGGACGCTGGACATCAAGGAACAGCGCAGGTGTTACCAACAGCAGACTTGGGCTGACGGGCCATCATCTCCACATGTGCGTGAGCACCGGCAGGCTTGCTGGAGTTCTGGGAGGCCCACCCTGCTCACGCCTGGGCGACGGGAGATCTGGTGGTAACTGAAGGGCCTCCCCAGCGTTTGACTTGTGTCAGATCTCAGACCTCTGTATGGCTCAGGGTGTGGGCTCAGGGAGCCCCGAGATGCCTGCTCCTTGTGTGGAGCAGCCTGTGTGTGCAGGCCTCCTGAACCGAGGTGCTCCTCGGGTCTCCGTGGAGCCCCCAGCCTCCACCTTCTCCAGACCGGTGGCCGGGCTCCAGGAGTGTTTATCTGGGCTGGAGGAAGAACAGCGTCAGGTGGGCTCTGCAGCCAGGCCTCGTCTATGTGAACGTCCAGACAGCGGGTCTGAGGTCGTCAGTGCTCAGCTGCCCCCAGCCCCGGCCTCCAGCACATCAACCCCGTGGGGCATGACTGAGCCCCTTGCCAACACAGCTGCCTTCCGAAAACTGGAATGCACTGCGACTTAG